AAGGTTAACGTTAATCTCATTCATATGTCAAATATGTATTCTGTCATCAGCTTATTGCTGATCATCTAAAGCCACAAGTCTTATTTGTTCAGAATTTCTACCGTTGGGCCATTTTCACTAACTGTCACATTTGCACTTTTTTTGTCATTAAAGTTAGTAAGTTTTCACCACACTTATCACATAGACTGTGGTTATGATGAGCCTTTAGGTGTAGCCTTTATGTCTCAGAAATGATCACATTCTTAGCACTCTTGATCCAAATAGCATCTTTAGAAATTTGTGTTTCTTTCTAACTTCTCTTCAGGCTAATGGGGTACCTCTCACAGGATAGGGTTATAGGACGTCTGTGTTTTCTACTTTCAATTGACTTCATAAATAGTACTGAAAAATTGAAGATGTTTATAAAACTGCAGTCTATCTCATTTTGATGTGGTTTAAATTCCTTATCCCTAGAAATATAATTATGGTATACAAAGATATTTACTAGCTTGCTTTTGAGACCGCCAGACTGAATAAATGAATAAATGAACCTGTGCCTATTCTTTGAGTTACAGAAAGGTTCATATAAATTTGTGAGCCCATGTAGAAAAACTTCTGCCGTTTTTATTTCTGTCATCTGATTATTATACTCCTCTGCCTTGTGTTTAAGAGTGCTGACTCGAATACTTTCTTTTGCCTGGCAAAATTCATGTTGTGACTGCTTTTGTCAGGTGATAAAGGAGACCCCCTCTGGAACAGAGATAGGGCCTTTAGCTAGAAGTGAAAGAATTTTATTACACAGTCATGGAAGCACTAAGTCAAAATGCAGGAGCATGGATCCAGCAGGCAAGCCAGTTTCTCTTGCTTCCTGCTTCTCTGCAGTTACTTACTGATCACCTACTGTATTCTCGTGGAAGAACCTGGACTGTGGTTGGAATGGCGTGTCACTAGGGCTTTATCAAAAGAAGTAAATTCATCAAGGAATTACATCTAGTTCTTTCAACCTTGGGGGCAAATATTTTAAAAAGTGAAATTCCGGGTTCTTTAGAATTTGAGACTTCCCTGATAATGTCTGTGTTGGGTATCTTTTCCCATATGATATGGTGTGTATATCAGCATCCAATTGCATGTGAATTTTCACCATTTGCCTATGTTCATTTGTTTTCCTTACCAACTCAGTTTTCCTTCCAAATGTCATAGGCCACAGTTTAGTTTGTGAAGTATTTTTTAAACACTGCAGGCAAAACTCTTTAAAATGAACATATGGATATACTTGTTACATACAGTTACATACAGTAGTGTTGCACAGGTGTCTGTAGAGGCCAGGAGTGGGCTCTTGGTTCCCTGGAGCTGTGGTTACAGATGGCAGTGAGCTGGGTGGTACTGGGAACCAAACTCCAGTCTTCTGCAAGATCAGCACAAGCTCTTAACTGATGAGTCATTTCTCTAGACCCCTAGCAGTTTTTTCATAATCATCTTCTGTGATGGGTACGTTTTGTTTGCTTTTTGTTGTCAGGCTTCATACATCTTCAGAGAACACAGCTTTATTATGTCTTGAACAGCCTGGTGGCTTGCTGGAGGCTCTGCCTCCAGAGCCAGCATGGATGACACTGCCTGCCCATCTCCCGAGCTTGGCTGATCTGAGCAGAATTTGTTGCTTTCATAAGACACTAAGTGAAAGTTTCAGAATACAGAGGCATCAGTAGAAGCTTTTATAAGCTTTATATTCCACTGAAATGGTTTTTAAACACTACCAGGTCTCATGTTTCATTCTCAGCTCTTTGTCACGGAAGGTCCTTGAATTATTTCACAAGTCCATTAAGGATGCACTTGTGTGCCCTCCCAAGAGGTCTGATTGCAATATTTAATCAGAACTGACGTTAGTGACTCTTGAGTCCAAATGTGGACTTGGCTGCGTGTTGTAGCTCATTTCTTGCATGGTTATGGAGAGGTCTCGGGACTTCTGGAGGAAGGAGAGGAGTAGTGTTAGTTAAGGGCTGGCTTAGGTGTGGCCATCAATACTTTACCAACTGGTATGGAAGCTTAGTTATTGGCTACCTCAGAGGTCATGGTGGTGCTACGCTATCCTATCCCCTTTGTGAAAGGAGCAGGTAGAGAGATTTGTGGGGTTGAGTGTCTGCTGTGGTACATGTCACTGTTCTGCCCCCATGGCATGTTTAGAACCTTCTTATTTTCCTGCCTGGTGTTGGGAGGCACCTCTGGAAAAATACTTTAAAATTCTGAAATAGTAAATTTGTTAAATTTTCCTTGACTAACAGCAAGGTACAAGGATTGAAAATTTTTTATGAATTTATTCACTACCCTTTAAAGTACTTAATTATCTTGTAAGATTAGATTGACCCAAGATAATACATGCATTCCGAGTTCAAGTTCACTTCATCTTCTTATAATAATTGCAAAACTTCTATAAGCCAGACATTGGTGTTGAAATACAGCAGTGGGCATAATTGGGGCGGGGGCAGGGGGTTCCTGCCCTTTTAGTCTGTTGGAGGGGGAGTTGACATTGAACAATTACCACCTCTGTAGTATGCTAGAAAACTATTTATTCAATGCTGTTCTACAGGCATCAAGCTGGGAAGCAGGTTGAGGGCTGGAGGGAGTCGAGGATTCATTGAGGAGGTGCCATATGAAAAATAAACAGCAGGGAATAAGGGTTATGCTGCTGTGTTATCAGAAGAGCTAGTTCTAGGCCCACAGAACAGCAAAGTTAACTACCCTTGGGTAGGGATAGCAAGACAGTGTGGCAGGAAGAACGGTGAGACTGATCTGAGTCAGCCACCCATGGGGAAGGAAATTATTAGTGGGTTTTGGGTAAGGGAGCTTACTGCCTTGTGCATTTTACCAAGAAAGCCCCTTTATTGATGGGCTAAAGAATGAAGTCAGTTTAGAAGGTTCACAGTGATTCAGAGAGTGATAGCCATCATCTGGGTGCTGGATGTGAAGGGAAGAGCCAGCAGACCAGAGGTAGTGTGGGTGGAGAGAGCAGGTGAAGGAGCTGGGAGATGGGAGCAGGGCTGTCTCAATGCTGAGACTCGTGAAGACTAGAAGGAAGCAGCTTCCAGAGCTCAGGTGTAGACATGCTAGCATCAAGTGTCCTTAAAACAGTGGAAATAGAAGAGAGGTCTAGGATGGAGACAAGAGTTCGGGATTCATTATTATGTAAGGAATACTTAAAAATCAAGAGAGCCATGGGGTTGCCAGAGAGTGAACATGGACACTAAAATCATATTCTGTGAGATAGTCCCACAGATTTGTCTTTATGTGATGAATAGCAAATTGGAGTGGCTGGAGTGTGGGACTTGGAGAGTAAGCAGTGTGGTATCCCAGGACTAAGGAGAAGTTTGGATAGCAGTGGTCAACTGTGCTTAGTGCTGCACAGGTCAAATCAAGGAGTCCGTTAAGTGACTATTTCTTAAGTTTGGTGATTTCTTTAAGGAAAAATATTAATGTCAAAGGTTTGGAAAAATTTGTTGGAGGGACTCTAGTACAAAATAGGAGATTGGACTACATATACATCTCTATGAAGTGGGCAGAATCTAAGATGGTAGGGCAGTTGGTCGGGAGGCATCCCTGCTCGGGAATGCTTGTCCCAGGATCAGCTGACAGTCGCCTGCTGTGGGGCAGCAGGGGCTGCTTGTGCACAGTGACCCCAAAGGTCTTGCCTTCCATATATTTGTCTGTCTGCCTGTCTATTGACAGATCTAGATAGATATATCTAGAGATACAGATGTACAGGCAGAGAGGGAGGGAGGGAGGGAGGGAGGGAGGGAGGGAGGGAGGGAGGGAGGGAGAAAGACTCCTATGTTGCAAGCTGCCCTCTGGCCTCCGCATGTACAGTGTAGCACACATACAGGCACTCATGTACACATGCAAACAAACACACATACAATAATAAATGTAAAACAAATTTAAAGAGCTGATTTCTCTCTTTTTTGGTACAAAGATACACATGAAAAACATGTAAAAAATCTTCATGTGACATGGAAGTGGAAAGGAGACTGGGAAGGAGGCCATGTATGAAGAGGACGTGTGTGTGTGTGTGTGTGTGTATACATGTATATATATATGTATATATGTATGTAGGCATGTATGTATGTATGTGTGTGTTATTTACATTTTTAAAAACCAGTCAAATTTTTTTTGGTTTTCAGCATTTAATTTTTAATTAGCATACAAGGTATTAGACATACTTATGACATTCTTGAATAAAGTGTGTTTTAGTTGCTTCTTTTCCCCCTACCCTATACTCTTCCTTATATAGCGTGTGTGTGTGTGTGTGTGTGTGTGTGTGTGTGTGTGTGTGTGTGTGTGTGTACACATGAGCACATGCACTCCACTATTCATGTATGTGGGGAGGCCAAAAGTTAGTGTTAGGTATCTGCTATCTATTGTGCTTCACCCTAACTTTTTTTTGATACAGGGTCTCCCACTGACTCCTGAGCTCACCCGTTGGTTTGACTGGTTGCCCAGGGGACTGTGGTCCATTGGTTTCCTCTTTCCCCTCCCCCTCATCTTCCTACCCTCACCCACACTGGGGTTACAGATATATGGGTCACCATGTGTGGGTTTTAAGTTGGTGCTAGAGATACAGACTCAATGCTTAATGGTTGTACATCAGTACTACCCTCTGACCATCTCCTCAGCCCTTTCCATCCTGTTCTTTGCATCCAGTAATTTTTGCAGAATTTTCCTCAAAACTTAGCTTTTGATTGTGTCACTTTGGAGTCTTGTCTACTGTAGTTTGTGTGTCAGCCCCGTCGTAGACTGAGGTTTTTTGTTTGTTTGTTTGTTTGTTTGTTTTTAATAGAAAGGCCATTGTGTTTGTTTCTTTATGTATCCATCCCCTTGTCTACCATCTGTACGTGGCAGATGCTCCATAAATATTTTTGGATGAATGGCTGTGGTTCATTTTAGTATTTGACATGTTAGCTGTGGAGGTCAGGGCCATCCTGAATTCTCTGGTTTGTTTCTAAATTCTTTGGCCATTTTGTTTTCTACAGAGTTCTGCTGATGGGGTCATGGTGAGGACAGGGTCACTGCAGCTCAGTAGCTCATCAGCTGGAACCTTGTCTCTGAAAAGAACAAAGCGAAAAGCACCGGCCCCGCCTTCAAAAACACCCGTGCAGCATAATGACACCAGCCTTGCATCTGATACCGGTATTTATTCTCTTGTGAACAGTACATTGGCTTTGGCTTTGTGTTTTAATACAGTCAATAAAGCAGAGTGAGTCATGACTTTTGTGTCCCCCTTTTAAACATGCTTTCACTATATATCCTTGGCTGGCCTAGAACTCCTCACAGAGATCTGTCTGCTTCTGTCCTTGAGTGCTGGGATTTAAGATGTGCTTGTGTGCCCCCCTTTCTTTTTCTTTCTTTCTCTCTGTTTCTCTCCGTGTGTGTGTGTGTGTGTGTGTGTGTGTGTGTGTGTGTGTGTGTGTGTGTGTATTAATGATACCAGGCTTTTAAAACAGTCTGATTATTCTCACTTAACTGCTTTTGGAAAGTCTGTAATGAAAAACGGCTTCGTTGTTGTAATGAGCCTGTCAACAGTGTGCAGATATATTCAGAAGACACCAGATTCCAGGTTGACTACTTTGGAATGGGGATGGAGGGTCAATGTAGTCATTTCACAGCTGCACGGTAATTGACCTATTAAGTTTAATAAGTTCACCCTTCCTGGACTAAGAAAAAGCAGGAAATTCCTCAGGAGTTGTTTCTCATCAGAGTGTGACTTTTTTTTTTTTTTTGTTTTTTTAAATCGGATTTCTTGCTTCTTTCAGCCCTGCCTCCAGAAGATGGACTTGCTCCAGACAGCGCTGTGGAAGCAAACTCTCCTGAGGGCCTGTCCAGCCCAGGTATGGCTCCCTTCACTGCATGCTACAACTGTGAAGGGAAGCAATGTCTTCACAGTCAAGAAATGGAGATTTGAATTCTTTGGCCTCCTTCCCCCACAGTTTTGTTTCCTCATCCCAAGGATTGGATGCTAGGATAAGAAACTGGCAGAGATGAAAATTACATTTCTGGAGCTGGACCCCAAGTGCTCTCTGTATTTGGCCTCTTGTTTTTCTTTATGCACTAGCTAGTGGACAGTTAGCAGCCTCCTTCTAGGTAGGGATATACCACAGTGGAAAGAGTCTTTGGTATGTTTCAAAGACTTAAAGTTAAATAGTCTCTCCCTCTCAAAAACTGCTTCCTCCAGAATGAATTCAGCTTCCATGCTGTCCTGCTCTAACAATGAATGTTGTTCACATGTGAATATCTCCCACCACATAGCTCACATTGTGGATTCTCCCCGAGTAAATGACGTTAGAAATAATACAACAGTTCCAACCGTTTTTATATTTCAGTAATAACTACTTAGTAGATTTTGTAAGGATAACTATGAGCTGGGTTTGGCAGTGCCCATCCATAATTCCAGCATTTCAGTGGCTGAGGCAGGAGGATCCATAGTGTCAGGCCAATCTGCCTTAAAAAAAAAAAAAAAAATACTAAAAATGTCGCACTCTTAGTACATAAGCATGGAGATATTGCCAGGTATGACTACCTGCATTGTACCATTTATAATCACAATGTTGGGCGAGTTTAGGAGCACCTGACCTTGAATCTTGTCTCTTACATGATACTTAGGAATTTGAGATTTTAAATTGTAAAGGAATCCCCTGTTTATGATTTAAGACATTGCTAGTATATAAGTAGTAGTGCTTTCCCACCCCTCACCCCCCTTAGAACACTCTTAACAAGACCATCTCATTCCATACAGGAATTGTATCAGATAATGTTACAAACATTAAAATATATGGTAGAGTTAGAAGGTTTCAAAGTTTTGGAGAGATGGGCAGACTACTCACACTTTGTCCCCTGTTTGTTTCTTACTTTGCCTTTTCAGAGCTTTTCTGTGGGTGACTGTGAGCTAATAGCACTCATTTCCCACTGTACCTTGATGTCTGCTTGCTTTGTTTTAACTCTCTTGTCTAAGTGCCATTTCCACAGACTCTACTTCTTTGGCAGAGGGCTCCCCTGGCCCCGCGATCCTAAGCCAGGAGCAGTGCACTGTGCCCAAGCCGGTGGATGAACTTTCGCTCTCTGAGGGCCCGGGAACTCCAGAGGCAGCTGTAGCATCCTTGACGTGTAGGTGCTCAGGCCTTAACTGGCTGTGGCTTTGGTATATGCAGAGGAAGATGCCTTTAAGTATAGATTAAATTACTTATTACACTCTAAAATGTTTCATAAGTAAATAATCATGTATGCCTTTACCCAGGTTTATAATGTGTGGTTTTCTTTCACCATCTAAATAAGCAGGACAAGGTGGGAGAGAAGTCACTCAGTGGCTCTGAGGAACACTTTTGCTTGTATTGGGTTTCCTATTGTTCGGAAGGGCTGCTTGAACTTGATTATTTTCAATGAGCATATAAGAAGAGTATTTCCAAGTATTCTTTATTGAACTACCCCTGTGTTAGCTGTGTGGCTTATTTTCTCTAATGTTATTCTCAGATGCCTCTTCTCTTTTAAAAGTAGGATTATTTTGCTTTAAGATAGAACATCGTTATAACTATAAAAAGCAAATCTCATAAATTGACCTTTTTTTATTTTACATATTGATCCCAGTTCCATCTCCCTCCCTCTTTCCCTCTCTCCCACCGTCCTGTGCCCCCCAACAGCCCTCCCCTCCCTCCAACTCTACATGTAGGGTGATGCCTTCTAGGCAGGGTCATCTAAATCTGTTAAGTCATTTGGAATAGGGGCTAGGACTTACTTCTCTCCTGTCTCTAGGTTAAGGGAGTATCCCTCCATGGGGAAAGTGCTCCCAAAGTCCTTTTGTGCACCAGGGATACATCCTGGTTCCACTGTCAGAAGTCCTTAGACTGCCAAGGCCTTCTAATTGAGACCCATGTTCAGGGTTGACCCAATTTTTAATCATTTTGACTTAGTCACCTAAAATTAGTATACTGTCACATGCTCCTTGTGATAGTACAAAGTTGTTTGAGGACTTTGGCAAACAGTTTGGAGAACTTTTAGGGGTGGTGGTGGAGATTAACACCAGATCTTCATGATAAGGGGGTCAGGGACATCCCACTGTGCTATCATTTAACCCTTGACAGGGTATTTAAAATGAAATGAGCATACTCATTTCCTAGATGACTCAACAAGCATTGCCCATGGGTATTTTTTCAAGAAAAATGAAAGTGCATATATACATAAAGCCTGCAGTTGTAGATTCCAATGTGGTACTTGCCTCCAAAGGGGAAAATACCCAAATATTTCTAAACTAAAATAGACAACTAAGTTTTAACTCATCCATACATCACAGTACAATACTGACTAGAAGGAGAAGTGTGTTTAGAATTAGTTTAATAGACCTATATCTTCCCAAAGGCACAATATCTGTCAAGCAATTTTTCCATTTTGATGATAGCCAGGAAAAACATGTGGTATCTAAAAAGACATATTTAAGTGTTAAGTTTAATAGCATCACAGTTCAAATGCAGCAATCACATTCTTTGAAATAGTAGTTACATTTCAATCTTCAAATTTATTTAAATTCAAATTCTTGAACATTTTTTTTTTCTGAGTAATCAAATCTTTGTGAAGAAAGTAATCAGTAGTACCTTTTGGAATTTCCTTTGTAGACTGAGCTGTCCAGAAACACATAGAGACCCACCTGCCTCTGCCTCCTGAATGCTGGGATTCAAGGCATATGCAGCATGCCTGGCATTGATTTTCTTTTGAATTTTCTTTTGAAGTTTTCATTGTTGTTTTCATTGTTGTTTTCTTTTTCTTTCCTTTTTTTTTTTTTTTTTTTTTTTTTTTTTTGGAAAGGTTCTTGCTTTGTTGTTCTTATTACCCTAAAATTCTTAGGGAGACATTATTCTCCTGCCTTAGCCATCCCAGGTGCTAGTGTTGTATATAATCAAGACCCACTCAGACTCCCTCCTTCCCTCTAACCCTCTGCCCCTCCCTTCCTTCCTCCCTCTTTTGTCTCCCTTCTATTCTCCTCCCCTCCCTTCCCTTCCCTTAACTTCCTTCCTTTTTTCCTTTCTTTTGGGCAGGGGATAAGTTTTCTCTATATAGTTGTGGCTGTCTTAGAACTCAATGTAGACCAGGCTAGTGTTGAACTCATAGATAGCTGCCTGTCCTTGCCTCTCAAGTACTGGTACTAAAGGTGTGCGACATCACTCCTGGCTCATATGTTTTTTCAAAGATCAGAAGTTAATACCCATTCCTGTCTAAAACTAAAATTAAATTTCTGTTACAGTTTGTGGATGGTCTGACTACTGTAGCAATGGTACATGACCTTACTTCCCTCTCTCTGGGTAAAATTAAACTGCATTCAGATGCTCTCGTGTAAATGGAGATGTTTAATTTGCTTAAGCAAAAATCCTGAGCCTCGTGGAGAATTTAACTTTCACAGTTGATGTTGGCAAGAATGATGAGCGCTTCGCTGCTGGAATGTCCCCCTTTTTACCCTATTGCCATTGGTTGTTGGCAGTAAGAAGTAATGATAAATTCTTAGAGAATGAAATATTACCCAAAACTGTTTAAAAGAACTGCACACACGTACATACCAGTATGGGATAAAACTTAGATAGAGTAAGTGTGTGTGTGACTGGGAGGGGAGGAATGTAAAAGAGAAAAGGAAATATGAGCGTGGATACCTGCTTATGTGTGTTTGTTATACTTTCTGGAACAGAGGAAAAAGTGTCAGAAGATGTCCATTCAGCTAGACATGCTGGGTTGTGCCTGTATTTCCTAGCACTCAGGGTTACATGAATTTGAGGCTAACCTGTGAAACGTAAGATTCTACCTTAACAACAAAGGAAAATTGAAATGAGACTGACAAAAACAAAACAAAAAACCCTGAGTCTGCTGCCTCAGATTTGTAATTCTAGCTACTCAGGAAGTTGAGGCAGGAGGATTGCATGTCTAGGTCTTCCTGGGCTACAGAGCATAGTCAAGGCCAATCCGGGAAATGTATAGGGAAAAATACTTAAAATGGCTTGAAACATAGCTTGGTGTGTAGCACAGTTTTACCTATCATGCATGAAGTCACAGGATTAGTATATCATATCTAAGAAGAGAAGAAAAAAATAATTTGCAGTGTTTTATCTTTGTTTTCCTTTACTAAAATCATTAGGCAGTTAGATAAGTGGCTCTTAGTAGTAGATTGCACATTAGAAACACTTAAAAATCTTCTCATTTCTTGGCCCCCAGTACCATAGTATTCTAATTTAGTAGCAAAGTGGCTGTGAACATCAGTATTAACAAAGGACACCCAGGTACTCTTAACTGTAGTCAATGCTGATGTCTACTGAGACAGTCTATGGGCATACTACCTAGCACAAAAATCTCATGTTCTATTAATTTGTATTTTATGTGACTATTTTGTCTAATTCACATTATATTTACATGACTCTAACCTTATCTAATGAAAGGTATCCATTCCTAAATGCAATTATATGACATTTAGAAGATTAACCTTCCATGACTAAAGCCCAGAGCGGTAGAACATGGTTCTAGAATGATATGAATGTGAGATGTTCTGCTTATATGCTAACGAGACCAATTACCATTAGGAAAACATTTCACTATTAATTAGAAACCACAAGATGCTAGCTAACTGTTGTTATTAAAACCCCCTCCTTTCTAGATTGCATAGGATGAACAAGGCAGATTGGTATTTAGAATTATAGCTGCATTTCTTTGTAGCTGGTGTGAGCTCGGATTACAGTCTTGAAGAGATAGATGAAAAGGAAGAACTGGGTGAGTCATCTAAAGGTCCAGTGGAAAGTATTGCTGTGAAGTCACCTGACATCCCTTCCTTATCTGCTGATGTAATGAATACATTGGAGAAGGATCCTGACTCTGCCCTTGACCTCAGTGATGGAGAGGCATCTCCCAGCTCGAAGGGAAAACTCCAAGGCAGAAACACAGAGGGACAGTAAGTAGTGTTTAGGTCACAAGTAGTGTTGGTGGTTTGTTTGGGTAATGCTGTTGTTCTGACAGAGAGCTGATATTTTCAGCTTAGTTATAGTTAGCCATTTTGTTTAGGTTCTATCTCTCACACTGTCCTTGTTAAAGATGCTTATTAATAAAGTAGTACATGTAATTGTGTTTAGATCAAGGGTTGTAGAGTCCTCATGTCAGGTACTCATCACATAGAAGTTAGTTAATTTGTGGGGTTTAAAAATAAGTTTCCATTTGTTCCATACATTTTGTTCCTTATTTGTTTGACCCAAATAATTCATTGAGATTTCACTCTGTACTGAATGCATCTGAGGATTTTTACTACCTGGACTCTGTAAATTCAAAGTAAATTAAGTCACCAGCATTGTTTATAGTCAAGTCTGAGATGTGAATAGCATTGTCCATCTGATGCAGGAATTCTGAAAACTCCTCTAGTCCACTTTGCAGTACTGTGACTAAAGTGGACATCAAACAAGCAAAATAAGCTTTCTTCATTAGAGGGTTACCTAATTTGCATGAGATTGTCTCCAAAATAAACTCTCTTGTCACCAGGAAAAAAAATAAAATAAAATCAGTGAGGTCAGTTCACATCCTAATTTATGTAGTAGACTTTGGACTTTGCCAGATGCAAGAATAAAATGTTTCATTTCATTTCCTTTTTTCTTTAAGAAAAAATAGGTTCTAACAACTAAGTAAAGACATTCATTTGGGAGAATGTCCCTTTTTACCAAGCCTCTTACATCTTCTTTGCAATAGGACACATTTACTGAAGCTAATGTTTCCTAGCAGCATTTCCTGCTATATTTCTCTAATATTTGGCAGGAAAGAGTGATTATTTCAATCCATCTGTCTTTGAAAGAAGTATTGCCTCCTTTTTTTTTTTTCATGGTGTGTTTGAATAACCTCTACAATTCATGTCTTCCAGAGGACCACATAATGCTGTTGTGAGTGATATAAGCAACGAAGACACAGTATCTGACAGTATAAGAGACTTGAAGACATTGGGCCCAAGCCAAGAGAGTGGTGAGTGTTACAAACACTGATGGCCAACACAATGTCATAGACACACAAACCAAGGACTATCCTTAAAACAGGTTAAGTAGATTCTTTCATGTATCAACTCACTTAATATCTGCCTCATTATGAATATTGTTACTTTTAGTCTCACTTTGCACAAGAGTAAGCCATGAAGATACTGTCTCACAATTAGTAAGTGGTGGATGTAGGGTTTGGACAGGAACTGTATGATCCTTCCACACTGGGCTCTTAGCTGTCATGTCTGCGCCTCATGATGCTGTCCCTCCTTTTGATGCTATCTAACTTAAATCTCATAGCTTAAGGTTGTGTCCTCTGTGTACCTCTGTGTCCTGAGTTCCTCTCAGTTCCCTAGTGCATGTTTTTACTTCATACTCAAATTGCCACACTTTGGATGAAACTTGCCTGCCTGATTTTGAAGCCATATAATTATGAAATATCACTTGTCACCATTTCCCCATTCTCACCCAAATTAAAGCAGTTTCTTGTTTTGTTCATGATGTAATTGGTTTATTTCTGCCAATTAGCATAGGGTCGTGCTGTCCTTGTATAGAAATTGTTTTCCATCTACTTCAGCCATTCAGTTTCTATCCACACCCTTCTGTGTTAACTTTGTTACTTGATTACTACAAGCCATGCACTTCAGTATTCCTGACTTTCCAGCCAAGTCACACAGTGTTAAGTTGGGGAATTCAATCTATGACTTCCTGTGAAATGTTTATAGCACATAACAAAACTGAACTTCAACACAGAATAATGCAAGTTGGTAGTGGTGGCGCATGCCTTTAGTCCCAGCACTTGGAAGGCAAAGGCAGGTGGATCTCAGTAAGTTCAAGATTAACCTGGTCTGCAAAGCGGTTTCCAAGACAGCCACAATGGTTACACAGAGAAAACCTGTCTGGAAAAACAACAACAACAGACAAAAGAATAATGCTCAGAAGAGAATTCAAGGAACATGGGATAATACATTCTAAGGGAATGAGAAGGCGGTTTATGAATGTTTATGGTTGAATCTATATTAAGTGAAAAAACTTTAATAGTCATGGGAAACAAACACAGGGCCATAGAATTCATATTTGGAAGGAAATGGATAATTCCATATTGTTGTTGTTGTTGTATGTATATATATATGTGTGTGTGTGTTTGCCCTACATATAGTACAGAATTTTATAACTAATGTGTTTTTACTTGATTAATTTTTTCCATTCACAGTACTCTTCTCTGATACTATACTAAAATGTTCTAAAGCTCTTCTTGGTTCTGCATATACCTTTGAGGAAATAGTTTTGCTATTGAAAATCATGATTTTGTAATTACTTCATTTGGGAGTCATTGTACTTATTTTACAGTACTGGGGTTTGTATACAGGACTTTGCACACAGAGGGTGTGCGTCTACCACTCAGGTTAGGTTTAGGGTCTTCAGCGCTCTTACTTCAATTGGCATCTGACACACGGCTGTAGTCTCAGTACTCAGAAGGCTAAGACTAGCCCTGGGTAAATAGTGAGACTATCTGAAAATCAATCACTTCCTTTTAAAAAAATTGGACAGTCACATCATTAAGATTTGACACCAGGTTAGTGCGAGGTTATTTGCGAGTATATCTCAGTAATATTTTCTGTCATATACATGTACTTTGTAGCAATCTTTGTCAACTTACAGTTTATTTTAAAAATTATTTTCTAGTATCTGTAAGGTATTTTATTATATTTTTCTTTTTGCCATATGCAATTATCTATGTACCAACTTTTTATCCCATTATAGAAGTCAGTGTTAGTTTTGAATAGAGAGAAGGAAAGAAAGGTAATGTAGTAGTTACCTCTCCCTTGTTGGCATTCCTTGGGAAATGGTGCAGCCATTCCCAGACATTTTGTGAGCATTGTCATTAGACCTGAGTGAAGGTGGACAGCTGATGAATTCAGTGGTGGGTATAGGTTGTCTTCTTGACTGTCTTTGGGAATAATTATGACATGTTGATGAGAAATAGAGAGTGATTAGTAAGTCAACTCACTGAAAATATGACACCTGAAATTCAGAGTTTTAAAACCAGTAAGTTAGAGTTGCTTATTGGAGATCTATACAAATAGTTTTACCCTTAATTATTTTCTCTTAGAAACAGCCCATACTATTTTTCTGTGTCCCATTACTTGCTTTGCATAATTATGAAGCTGAAAATGGTATATAGCACTCACATCATCCAGTTACAGATTGGGTAAGACACACTGAAAAATTGAATTCTCTCACATTTTAACGTATATGCTTGAAAGTATTTTTTTTCTCTCTTAATAGTTCAAAATGAAATCATGGTCTGTGCCACAAACACAGATTATGTGAAAGACAGCCCAAGGAAAACAGAAACCTCTACAGAAAGCAAAGCCGCAGAGAAAGCCATGGATGTAGAAGCTGATAGACTGTCGGACTTTCCAGTATGTACAACGGATCATGTTAAAAGCTTCAGGGAAAATCATCTAAACGCACCATCAGGACCAGATCAAAAATTGAGTCAACCAAGTGTAGAAAAGACAAAAATGCAAGATGCAGCAACTCAGGCCACCCCTGCTTACAGCAGTTTTGATGGGACTCACGAAGACCGTAATTCGTCTGACCTCAAGGTTGATGAAAGTGTGCAGACTTCAAATAGTAGCAGATCAACTCAGCACTCCTCCTCAAGTCTCCATGACCCTGTAAATGTCTCAAAGGCATTTGGGGGTCAGGGCACTCCAGCACCTGTCCAAGATAGACTCCCTGTGAAAGAGCTTGTGTGTACATCTGGGAACGACGACCATTTGTCTCCTGTAGATGGAAATGATAAGAATCCAGCTGCTTCTTATCTAAAGAATTTTCCACTTTATAGACAGGACTACAGTCCCAAGCCAAAACCTTCAAATGAAATTACGAGAGAGTATATACCTAAAATTGGAATGACTACTTACAAGATAGTGCCCCCCAAATCCCTGGAAATAGTAAAAGACTGGGAATCAGAAGCAGTGGGGAATAAAGATGCCCAAAAGATGGATGCTGGAGGGCATGAGCATATGCTTGGGAATGTGAAAGAAACAGCTATGCAGACAGAAGCCCTTGTTACTTCCAGAGGGCCACAGGAGCTTCAGCCTGACCCTAAGGCAAATCCAGGCTTAGGCACAGAGCATCATTTGCACAGGACTCTGAGCGTTGGTGCAGAGATGAACCCCCCAAAACCTCCCAGAATGACTACGGACACTGGCGGCATTCCTTTTGCACCAAATTTGGAAGATATAAACAATATTTTGGAGTCAAAATTTAGATCCCGAGCTTCAAACCCCCAGGCCAAACCAAGTTCGTTTTTTTTGCAGATGCAGAAGAGAGCATCAGGCCACTATGTGACTTCTGCAGCTGCTAAGAGTGTGCACACTGCCCCCTGGCCTATCCCCAAAGAACCAACCACCAAAGAGGTGCAAAGGGACCCCCGACCCCCTCCAGAACAGATTCTTTCTTCCTTAAGTGAACGGACTCATTCTGCTCAAATGCCCAGTATTTCAAAAACTGATGACAGGATCATGCAGAAGCCTGCTGAGATCTCTCTTCCTCCCTCTGCTATCAAGCCTGTGGCTCTTCCTGCTGAGACCTCTCCTCCCCCTGTAGCTCCCAAGCCCCTGGCTCTTCCTGCTGAGATCGCCCTTCCCCCTGTAGCTCCCAAACCTGTGGCTCTTCCTGCTGAGACCTCTCCTCCCCCTGTAGCCCCCAAACCTGTGGCTCTTCCTGCTGAGACCTCTCCTCCCCCTGTAGCCCCCAAACCTGTGGCTCTTCCTGCTGAGATCTCTCCTCCCCCTGTAGCTCCCAAACCTGTGGCTCTTCCTGCTGAGTCCTCTCCTCCCCCTGTAGCTCCCAAGACTGGTAGTCAGGGAGCATCACTAAACCTGAAGACCTTGAAAACTTTCGGGGCCCCAAGACCATACTCCAGTTCTGGCCCCTCACCCTTTGCCCTTGCTGTGGTGAAAAGGTCACAGTCTTTCAGTAAGACACGTCCAGAGTCCAGTGAGGGCTTCTCTACCCAGCCTGCAGACACAGAGGGTGAAAAGACATACACAGTAAATAAATCTGCGGTGGTTCCCCAACCTGATGATGTTGATAAGGTAAGCCTTAACTTTTCAAATATAAATAATCAGTTTCCAGTATGATTGATTTGGTTAAAGTAGGGGACAGCCTATATTATACCAGTACTTTAGTATGGTTGTATATTGCTTAACTCTGAGTTACAATAGTCAGCTATAGTTATAAGGTCATTGTTACGAAATTGTATGATTAGCAAAATTTTAAAGTCTCTTTATTCATGTGCATGTATAATTGCTGAGTGTAGAGTAGTGACTATTTTCCTGTGCATTATTATTTTTCTTAACTGCTTTAGATATTATAGTTTACTTTCTTTTTCATCTGCCTTTATAGAACTATGTAATATCCAAATAAGTATAGTTTTAATTATTTGTAACAAACAGTATCAAGAACTGAAAGGGGCCCAAAGTGTCTCAGTTGTGTATTTCCCATCACATGTATTCAACTTCAGCTTGCCAAACATATGACATGTAATGTAATTTAAAATGAAAGTGGCTTTAAACTGTATTTGTCATAATTATCCATTATGGTAGTTCTCATTGAAAGACAAAAAAGTGAAGTTAGGGAACCCCCCTCCCCTCCACTTGAAATAAAGGACAGTCTGACCTGGAAAACTAACCCAGACCAATATCAGTTCCCTGGAATTTGTTAACTTCCACTCACAAGGCCCTGAGATAGCAGGATGCCAAGAATTCACACTCCTTTCTGTGAGTCAGCAGGCTGTAAATAGGGTCCCTAAGAAACAAAGAGATAGCTGCAACTCTGGTTTGCCCAGACAAGATTAATTAGCACACCCCGAGGCCCTAAGGTCTCCTGACCCTAACAGTAAGACCATCCAGCCTCAAAGGGTCATGTATTCAATGGACAGAGGGTCACACCTCCCCCCCCCAAGCTTGTGGGTTTTGCCTTTAAAAACACCTGTGCCCAGGGAATGGGGCTTCTCTCTGGCCTGCACGCTGAGGGAGCCCATTTGCACAAACAATTCCTGTTCATTAAACCTCTTGTGTGTTGCAGCAACTGGACTGGACATTGAGTTCTTGGGGGTACCGACCGAAACTGGGAGACTCCTCATTCTGAGGGTCTTACGTCATTACATGCATGTAGACCAAAATACCATCAACTTTCAAAAAGTCCCATTGACCTGAATTGTCAACTAAGCATTTTGCTTTCTTGATTCCCATAAAATAGTCAGAGGAGATGATGGTATTCACAGTGTGATTCATGGTAATCCATAAGCCATCTTAAAAAAAACTGCATTTCGTCTTCTACTCTGGTAGTGTTTGAGAAATACTTTCCTGTTTGTGTGACAGTTCCAGGAACATTTTATACAACTTTTTTAAACATTCCCAGACTAAAAGAACAGTGATCCTGATGCCAAGTTAATATTTTTCTTTAATGTTGAGGCATTATGTATCTTGAAGACCATCTCCTCATACATTTGACATTTATGCTTACTAGTTTACCAGCATCAGGAAGCGATTTGTGATACAGAGAATTATGAACTTGGGGGTAGAGCCTGCTTTTTTCTTTAGATGGATTACCATTGCTAAATAATGCAAACTTCATTTAGATGATGGCAGTTTTGATTCACTGCCTCAGCCTTATTTAGTTCATTTAAAAAGTAAAGATAATGAATTTGACAGTTTGCAAAGGACATTTTTAGGATTACTTGATATAACGCTTCCCAGTTTCATCATTTACTAAGTATTTGTTCTTAAGAGGTTTAATTAAATTTCTGATTATTTCGCTTGGAAGTTCTTAGCATTTATGTTTAGTCCAATGAGTTAAAAAAAAAACTAGTTGTCCTACCATAATTCTTGTTGCTTCTAGAAACAAAAAACTTAGGCCGTTAGGTATAGTAGAAACATCAATAGTCCCTTGTTAGATATCATATGGGATTCTAAAGTATGAAATTGTCAGTTTTCAACTGCCTTGTACATTGGCCCTAATATGTTAGAACCATGAAAATAGGTTATTTTTCAGTTTGTGGAATTTTTTAAAATTTAATTTTTATTTATTTATTTATTTATTTATTTATTTATTTATTTATTTGTTTATTTTTTGAGACAGGGTTTCTCTGTGTAGTTTTGGATGTGGATTTATTTTAAAATCATGAGTTTTGGCTTTGGTAGTCAGTTCTATGTATTGGCAATATCAGTGTTCTTTGATTTACACACAGTAAAATGACCACTTTATTCATGAAGCAAAAAGAGGTAACTCTCTCCCACAGCTTCCTAAGCTGAGAAAGGAAGGTACATAGTTCATCCCCCAACTGGGCTCTACCAACAGATAACCGAGTGAAGGATGGAGATACAGAACTGTGTCAGTGTCATTAGCATGGCAAATGGCAGTTTTTAAAGAGCAATTGCTAATGCAGTTTGTAAAATAGGCCTTTTCTTCTCTTGGAATTCATAAAAAAAAAAATCTTGTATTTATTTTTCATAGCATAATAAACCTGTACAGAGTGAACCAAGTTCTCACATGCTGACTCCGACTGACAACCCATCGTTCACCCTTAAACAGAGTTCTTTAACATTCCAAAGCTCTGACCCAGAGCAGGTACGGCAGAGCTTGCTGACCGCAATCCGTTCCGGAGAGGCTGCCTCCAAGTTAAAGAGAGTAAGTTTTCCCTATCAGACAGATGGTTGGCAGTGGCTTTAATTTCAAACTTGTTAAACTAACACTTAAGTGTGGGGAGGGGGATTCTTCTAACATTCAAATATCAACAGGAAAGATGCTAGAAATTATTCTTTGATTTTTTTTTTTTGAGGTATAAACTGAAGGATATCAGAGTCTTACACATACATAAAAACACATTTGGTTTCCCCCCCACTGTGTGGGGCCAGGTTGAGTGTAGAAAGCTAGCCTTGACTCTTATTTTAAGAAATTATATTAGTACAGTAAGAGAGATTTTCTTGAAGTGCACCCCTTTCCCCTCTCCTGATGGGAGATGTCATTCTGTAAATATGTCTCTCTTATTGGTTAATGAATAAAGTCCTGTTGGTCAATAGGAAAGCAAGAAATGTGGGTCTAGGAGACAAGGAGGAGAGAGGAAGAAATTGAAAAGACATTCAAGAAATAGGATGGGGAGAGCAGAATGTCAGCCCCTCTCTCTGGTAAGATAAGACCACATGGAAATACTTAGATTCATAGAAATGGGTTAATATTTAAGACAGAGCTAACCAATAAGAAACGCTAGTAACAGACTAACAGCTTTATATCTAAGACAGCATCTCTGTGTGTTATTTGGGGCTGGCACTGCTGTGGGACCAGACTTGCGGAAAACATATAACACCGTCTCCCCCCACCCCAGAAAAGTGGACTTTTACCAGTGGGAACATAGATGTTTGCAGTCATATCTCCACGGTCAAAGTAACTATTGTGTGTGAGTACAAAAAGCAATTTAACGTATTAAAAAGTAGAGAGGAGCCTAGAGAATGCAGAGGAGAATTCATCCATGGTCCATATTCATAATGCCTACCACATGATCCAGCCAACCTTGCTTAGCTATAGAAGAGCAACAAGATGGAGGTGTGATTCCTCCAGACAGAATGTGAGTGACAGGTGAGTGTCGCCTCTCTCTCCACCTTCTTTCCCTGGGAGAGGAGAGTCCAGGGCAGGTTGACCAGCCATTGCCATGGATGCTACTCAGTTGTGCTGTGAGAAGCACTTCAGCATGGATGTTCTGAATACACTGACTGACTGGGTGTTTTATGTTGTACCTCTGTTGATGATCCCATCAGAAGGCTAAGAGACCTGTCGAGTAAAGCTTTGAGTTTCACAGAAATTAGAGCTACAAAGGAACAGAAGTGCTGAAAAACAGAAATAAGGAACCAGTGTTTTATATGTTCCAACTATACCAGCCTTTGTCATGCACAACTGTTCAAGGCAGTTGCCTCTGTGTGTGTGTGTGTGTGTGTGTGTGTGTGTGTGTGTGTGTGTGTGTGTGTTTGTTTGTGTTTGTGCATGCATGCTTGTGTACGTGTGTTTTACTGTTGTTCCAAGAGACTTGGCTCTCCCTTCTGGGCAAGTATTTAGACAGAGTAGTATTTGCTGGTTTCAAGAATGAAAGAAGTATCAGGGAATATTTCAGAGGAAAGATTTGAACTTTGTAGATTATAAATATGTACCAGGGCAGCAGAAAAGTTCATATAGATTTAAATATTGAAATTAACATTTTATCAGTCCTCACAAATTTCTTTGTCAAGAGGGAAAATATGCTAGTGTCAATAAATAACCCATTCTTGTTTTTGAAAATATTTATTTTCTGTTCTTTATCAGGAAGTTACAGATGAGTTTCAAGCCATTTACCACCAATCTAAGATTCCTAAATTCAATAAATATGAGGCACAATCATTTTAATAGACACAGAGGGCAGAAAGGTCAATAAGCCAAGCATTGCTGTCTATGTAGCCTGGGCCTGCCTGAAAAGTAATGTTGCATTAGATTCCCAGGAGATCCTGGTGCCTACACAGAAACTGAACACAGTGCTGTGGGAGGGAGCAAGTGCTGTATATACTAACCGGTTCCTGTGTTACACGATACTTTGCATTGAACTGCCAGTGTGTTTCAAGCCAGCAGCTGGAAATACTGGTGGATTCTTGGGCCTGATCTGGCAGAACTTTCACATAGTAAACTCTCAACTTCCAGAAATAGTTGGGTCATAATCAATGGAAGGGGACCTAATTGGTGCACCTGTAATTGTATCCTCTTTAAAAGTCATTACATTCTATTGAGTGTAAAACTTTCATCTTATTGAGTAGGAGGTTATTAACATCTTGGAGCATGTAGAGTGCCAACTCCTAAGATTTTTTAATGAGCATTTCATACATAATCTATTTTATTTCACTAACAGCGGTTAAAGTAGCTAGCAATGTCCACAGTCTTTAAACTCAATGACCAGCATTCCGGCTCTAGTATATATCCTTAAAAATGGTTTTGAGTACACCAAGACTTATATATAACAGTGCTCGTGCCATATATTTTGTAAGGTTCCAAATAAATATAACTCTAATTTATTATAACATAATAAATAAAAAATAGTGTTTTCGAAGACTAACCCATCTCATGGGATCATTCTGTTATGTTCTTTGATAGTTCATACATTTGTACAATGTGTGTTGACCATATCCATCTACCACTACTGCCCTTTCACTCCTCTGTCTCCTCCCCCACCTCCCTCTTAACTTCAAATCCTCTTTTAGAAAGTGTTTGCATTGCTTCTCTGAGATTTTCATACGAGGTGTTTTATTAAAGTCATTCCCTTGCCCTGTTCTTCCCAGATCTACTTCTCCAGGTATGGCTTTCACCTTGTGGAGCAGGCCTTAAATCCAGTTAGAAAGTGGTTGGTTACTCTGCAGGATCCATTCTACCATTGTACCAGTAGTGTGCCTTGTAGCACATACGAACTCAAAAGTGTCTGTGACAGCATGTACAAGTCCTGCACAAGCTCAGGCCAGACAAAATCCAAATATGGAAAGGGGAGCTGGTTCCATGTTTACCTATGTCTTTGAACTCAAAATATTCAGTTTAGTTCCAGGTTCCAAACTGGCTATGACTCTGGTTTCTGTAGAGCCGCTAACCTTCATTAGAATAGCTACCTTGCATTAGAACATTCTGTTTATGTCCCGTGTATGAAAGTGGCTATGAGAATGCTGTGGCTTATTTATTTATTTATTTATTTATTTATTTATTTATTTATTTATTTATGTATGTCATGCTTCTCTGCAGCCTTTCTATACCTAACTCCCATTTACCCCACAGGTAGCCATGGAGTCTAGTTTGTCTTCATACAAAGCTTTAATTAGCCTAGCATAATTTTTTAAAATTGTGTTCAGTGTTCAGATTTATCATGAATCAGTAAACTGTTTGTAGAGAATGAAATTAAATCATCCATTATTGCTGCTCTACCTTGACACAAGGACTTTGGCTGTACCTAGTGCTTTGTGCTATCCCTAATTACTGAAAATCAGGCCATTGAATTGTTACAAATAGAATACAGTTTTTAAAAATAGAGTCTAAAATAAATTTCTATTGTATACTTTATATTGTAGATTGACTCAGAATGTAAAATTTATCTTTGGCTGAATAGAAGTCTAGAAAGAACAGCAAGTCTGTGGAAGCTTTTCCCAGACCCTCCTTGGCTTGTATTATTTAATTAGCTTGCTTTCATTTTTTTTTTTTTTTAATTTGATTTGCTTTTAAACCAAGGATCACAGGTTGACAGTTCTCCAAATGCATTTTCTGTAAAATATAATAACCAGTGTTGTGTTTTCATAACCACAGTTCAAATTATGTGTCTATTCATGAAAATTTCTTCAAACACCAAGGGTAGATATTCAGCAGGCACATCAGTAAGTTCTTACATGTTAGTTTTTAAGAAGTAATTTTATTGTGGGTCTGGAGACATGGCTAAGAGATTAAGAGTACTGTCTGTTCTTGCAGAGGACTCCAGTTCCAATTGCAGTGACCATGTGGTGGCCACTCACAACTGCCTGTAACTCTGGTTCTAGTGTATCAGATGGTCTCCTGGCTTCTGTGGATACTGGGACATAAAATAAAAATAAACTGTTTCTTATGTTGTAAGCTAATTATGTGCATAGTTCAAGTTAAATAATCCTTTGGTTTCTGAATGTTTCTAAAAAGTTGTTGTATATCTTTTGAGAAATATTCTTTAGCACAAGACCATGACAAACACCAAAAGAAGCTGTGCTATAAAGGATCTCTCTCTGATCCCAGAGTTTATGTATTTATATACATGTATATTAATGACATCTTTTTTATTCATGTATTTTTAAATATCAAAGAAATAGCTTTATTTTTTCTTTTAAGATAACCTCTCTTATTTGTTTGGGTTTTTGGTGTGTGTGTGTGTGTGTGTGTGTGTGTGTGTGTGTGTGTGTGTGTGTGTGTGTGTGTGTGTTGTTTGTTTTTTGGTTGGTTTTTTTAATATTTATTTATTTTTTTTTTTTTTGAGACAGGGTCTCATCTATCTATTGTAGCCCAGGCTAGTCCTGCATTCACGATCCCTCTACCTCAATTTTTCAAAGTGCTGAGATCATTGTAGGTACATGCTGTCAAACCTTGTGAGTAATTACACCCTCCAAAATATTTTGTTAGTGTATTAACTAGTTAGTTTATACCATGGAACCTTCTGGAAATAATTTATAAGCTCGCATTTCTGAAGGTAGATCTATGCTATTTAAGATGATACAGTATTTGCCTTTTTTTAAATTAGCTTCCAAAATACTATTCTGCATAAGTTTTTTTTTCACATGTTAAATTTTAATTGACACTCCCAACTTCATCTGCCTCCTCTGACCCCCCACTCCAGCATTTCACCACACTGACTACCCTCTTTCATTTTCCCCATTTCTATCCCTTAAATTGCACTTCCAGAGAAGCAGAGTTCAAAACCCATGCCTGGCAACTCACCAAGGGTTATAACTCCAGCACCAGGGGATCCAATGACTTCTTCTGGCCTCTGCTGATAGGCGCGCGCACACACACACACACACACACACACACACACACACACACACACACACACACACCAGCATAACCACCCACCCCAACACACATATGCATATAACTAAAAATATACCTTTTTGCAGAAGGATTTTGAGATGTGTAATTATAGCTTGAATTACAAAGCTGATTCTCTCACAGAGAGACTTCAAAATGAAAGTTCTGCAGTGAAAAGTCATTTCTTTTGGCCTGTTGATTATATTGGAAATCAGTTATCATTTCAGGTGTGTAGTTTCATCTGCTCCACTGCATCTGGAGTTGATTATCCCCCTCCCCCCAGGAAATTGATCACCACAGAGAACCTCTTCATCCAGTGAGAAGCAGGAACTGCAGTACAAACAGAAAAGATTCTTTGTACACCTTACTCCACTGACAGGGTGTGTGGTCTTTTCTCTGCCAGTTCTTACCCGGAGATTGCAGTTATTCTTTATGAATCTGTGCTGCTCAGATTACAATGTAGATGAAGAGATTTTTTTTTAATATTTTACTTTACATGTGACATATATGTGTATGTATGTATGTATATATGTATTTACTATTAATGATCTGTAATTTTTTCTTTACATTCTTCTAAGTCTTTAAAAAAATACCTTGAAATTCCAGGGCATTTGAAAAACTCTTCAGTTTTGTTTTCAGAGTGTGTATGTGTATGTCTGTGTGTCTGTGTGACTCTGTGTCCCATACTGGCCTGGAACTCTCCTGCCTCAGTGTCTAAGTGCTGGGATGGCAGATGTGTGGCATCCTACTTGGCTGTCTTAAATAATTTTTTTCCCTTCAGTGCTTTGCATATGGAATACTCAACCCCTGGGTTTTGAAAGTTGATTGTTCATTGATTGAAAATTCCTGTAAAGCCTTTTTGTTATTCCATTCTTCTAGGCATAATAGTCATGGCTGTAGCCCTTACCATGAAAGATTTCTTAAAGACCCAGTTTGGGTGGCTGATGCCTTTTTTTTTTTTTTTAATCTTTAGGGAGTTGGTAAGAGGAGGATTTCAAACTACTTTCCGGTATTGTAAAATTGTAAAATGTTTCAAAATTAATTTTTCCCATTTATTTTTTCAAAGCACTTTTGAGAAGCCAGGATTCATCTAGCTAAAACTGCCTGTGACAGCTTGGCCTGCAGTCTGTTTGTGCTCTTGTCTTTTATGTTGGCTTGGTAATTTTACAAAGACTAAGATATGTTGGTGGGTTATTTAACTTGTTTGTTGTGGAAATAACAAGTCTCTCATTTTCCATTTCATGATAGAGTGAACATTTATTGTTAATTATTTGTAAATCATTGAGTGATAAATACTGAATGCTAACATTTTCAGTTAAGCAAAAGTGATGATGTGATAATGGTTGAAAATTAGACAGCTGTCCCATTTTATAAGAACTGATGGGAACAAAATGTGTTTTTTGTTCTTAGGTTACCGTTTCATCAAATATAATATCTGTGAATGGGAAGTCGGGACTCAGCCATGCCATGTCTTCTGATGCCCAGAACAATCACTAACATTCACCTGCAGTGACACACTTCACTGACCAGCTCTTTGCCTACAAGGAATATTGGCAAATACATATTCAGATGTACATTAATATATAAATCTGTTCAACAACAAGCATTTGTGTTACGGATTTAATACCAAAAGAAAAAAAATAGCTAGAATTTATAATTTATATAATGTTTGGTCTTTTTGACATAACTAAATATTGCTGCTTTAGAAACTTTAAACAATGTGTAAATGACTTGTCTTATTTCCCATGGTGAATAATCACTGCTTAATGATTTTTTCTTTTGTTTATGGACATACTGTGTACCATGCAGCAAAGATATAAATTGAGATTTATGGACATATTGTATGACAGAGACACAGGCAAGCACAAGCTAACATTTACTGCCTCAGCATTAGGCTGTAATTAGATACATAAATTATAATAAAGCCTCTATGTTGAAAGATATGGAAGACTAGTAAATAAATAACGTTCAGTTATTATTATTGAAGAATTACTTAGTGTGAAACTTATTTTGTGCATTCTTTAATTACAAGTGAGCGCCAGATCTATACGAAATAATAAAGTATTTTTTAATGCAATACTTTAACTTTTAGAAGTTAAATTGCACAAGGAAACTTTAAGATGTTTTCTGTATGTAATTATGATGTTACACAGATATTACATATTTTCTAATGCCAGAAGTCTTAAAACATTCCTATGAAAATGTTGATATATTATGACAGTAATTTCACATGTGGTATATAAGGAGAACAGGGGCTAGTTGATGTCCACATTTAATACTTTAAAGACTAGTTAGAAATTTCCAAAATCCTGATTTAATTAAAATAAAATGCTAAACTAGTCATTTAGATAGCTCAGATGCTAATCGTCTAAATAATAATATATATTTTCTTGAAAGCCAAACTGGTTGAGGGAAACAATGATTGATGTGTTGGCTTAAAGTGATCCTAGGATCTAGAACATCTTGGTGTCCTGAATTTCCTTAAGAATTTAATTGTTCCTTTATTCTGGAAACTGTTCAAACAGTCTGACACTGTTTTGACTCTTAATAAAGCTACTGAGATATCTACCATTTTTGCAAACATGAATTTTTTTCCACTTAATAAAAGCAAGTTATATATTTGAAGTCTGTTGTTTCTGGTGTGGTTTGTGTTAACTAGCATTTAAAAATTTTTATGTGTATTGAGTGTTTTGCCTGCTTGTCTACCTGTGCACCCTATATGTATCTATGGACCAAGAAGGCGCTGGGTCCCCTGGAACTAGTGTTTCAGACAGTAGGGAGCTGCTAGGTGAGTGCTGGGTACTGAATCCGAGTCCTCTGAAAGAGCAGCCAGTGCTCTTAACCACTGAGACATCTCCCCAGCCCTGATGAACATGTTTCTGCCAACCATTAGCACACATATAATAGTAGTTCTTTCCAGTTATCAGGCTTCCCAGTGAATAGTTAAGCCCTGATGTTCTGACTCCAGCACATAAAATACTTAGCCTGATTTCTGATCCTATTATTTCCTTGTTTCAAGCTTAGAGGATGAACCTTCTGCACAGATAATTAAGTTCTATCATTTTAAACCAGTAAAGAACAGGTTTTTAAAAATCAGAGTTTGTACAATTGCCTGTTTGAGGGAAACTGTGATCTCTACTTCAAGCCGTATCATCAATGTGTTTGTGTCAGATTGAAGGCTTTTAAAGTAACATTTAAAAACTCAGAATGTAATTTGTGCTTCAGGCTGTAGCATGTGAATTCTTGTCTAAAATACACAATGCTGTCATAAAGTATACGATGAATCTCAAACCTTTAATAAGAGGTGAAATGTATGTAAATACCATGAAGACAAATAAGATACAAATAGCATGTTTTAGATATGTAAAAGGGTTAATTTGTTAACAGGATGAGGAAATCTAAAAGGCTAGCAAACATGGAAAACAGTTTTCATTGCTAATCAGAGAAGCAGTAGACAGTAAGGAATACATAGGTTACCAACTCAACAAAACTGTGAGGTCCAAAGTTAGTAAGCATTAAAAAGAAGGAACAGCAGTGGGTGATATCTAGCTGTTGCTAGGAAATGTACTGCATTTCAGAAGTCCCTTGCCTATCTCCTCAAATTATTCAAAATGTAAAAAGAGACATTAACAAGATGGGACAGCCTTGTGTGCATCCTTATCAGTATTCCACACTGTGATACATTGTTGGTAGATTCATAAACAGTTCTCAATCAAGCTAGAGTCCTGGGTTAACACAGATACAGCAAAGCATAACAAGTGAAAAAAAGTTATAAAACAAGATGGGTTTCATGAGATCAGTTTCAGAAAGTATAAAATAAATGATTCTGTACATTACAGTTGAGCATGCAGAAAAAAATCTCCCACATTTGGGAGTCACTTACAGGAACCAGATGAGAAAAGCAAGTGAGAATTATGGGAGCCATCAATTGGGTTGCTGTGTTTTATTTTAGAAACTTGTTTGAAAACAAAGACTTCTTCCACCAAAGATTCTAATCTACAGAAGTATTCTTAATGGTTTATAGGTTACATGGGATAGAGGCAGATGTGTCAGTCTCTGAGTCATTCATTAGGAGTTTTGAAAAGTCTTGCCCACACTGTGCATTAAAATGTTGTCACTGTCTCCTTAACTGAGAAGTTCATGACAAGCTGTTTTCCCCTTCATTTCCTCTAGTTAATAACAAGAATACAAGACAGGAATGGCCCAGAAACAGCTTCAGATTATCATGTTGAATAGCCATATACTGTTGATGGGCTCTTTATGACTTGAATATAAATACGAGATTTTTATTCTTGGTGTCTCAGCTCCCTCTCTGGGGGAACCACATTTAATGTTTTGGTTAAATCCATTGATGGATCTCTAAGGTCTTGAGTAGCTGTTTATGACAGAGTTGCACACTAATGTTCTTAAGCAACTTGACTTTGGCATACTAATACTATCCCGGAAGAGAAAGTTTTTACACCTAAAAGATCTGTCACACTTGTTAGCCATCTTCCTGTTTCTTGCTATGCTATACCAAACTGCCTGGAGGATAGGTATTTGGGATCAAGTCTCAGGTCTGTCTACCATTTTAAAATCATGGGATTTGGGGGAAAATTTAACGTCCTTTTTTTTTTTTTTTCCTTTGAAAACTCAACTGATGTACCTATCTCATAGAGATGATTTTTAAGGATTAGATGAATTTTAAAGATGTTTGACACAGGATTTTCTTTCAAATGCACCTGTTTTTCACACCTAGCAAGAACTACACTTTTTTGTTCTTTGTGGGAATGGCCCTCCCTCACATTTCACCTACATGTGCCACCAGGTCTGGCACTGGAAACAGAATCCACTGTGTAATTTAATCAAAGTCCTTGCAATGAGACCAGTTATTTCCCCAAGACCAGAGCTGATAATTCTGAAGACCAAGACTCAGTTGATTCATGTGCCTAATGGCAGTGTGCCTTCTTCTCACTACCAGGAGACACTACAAAAGAGCTAAGACTCACACCCATTCTTTTTAACTATTATGCTTTCTAAAATAAGGGGGACTCCCAGCTGAAGGTGACAGTGTAGATCCTTGCCTGAAATGATGTCTTTGAAATTATTTGAAATACTCCTATATATTTGATACTTCAAACTTTGCAGAGGATTATCTTGTTATTTGACTTCCTGTGCAAAACAAATCTGGAAGATGGCTGTGTTTACAAATATTAATCAGCCAGACACATCTCAGGATTTCACATTCCCAGATTGCTCTTTCCCATAACTAAAAACTCACAAATGCGAGTGAGGTAAACGGTGCTGGTTTCCAAGGTCTCCAGAGCTGTTGCCTGCTTAAGGACCCTTTAGCCTTTTTTTCCCCCTTCCATTTTATCACTTTATTGCAAATTTCCAGCCCTAATACTGTGGTTCATCCTGTAGGCAGATAAAGTACTTATCACAAGACAAAAAGGCCACCATATATTCTCTCAAAGAACTTTTCTCACAGGTGTTTTGAGAAAAAAAAATGTAAAAAGTTCTGTTAATTTATATAGAATTCTTGGTTTTGATGCATTGTGGACTTTATGAATCCATTTGAAAGTTGAACACATTGTTTTTCTTGGTGTAAAAAAAATGCTACATTTTCAAAAAAATAATTTCCAAAAAACACTCATCTCTTGTTTTTCTTTCTCCCATTGTGGTGGATAAGTGATAGCCCACATCATTTTTCTGCAATTCAATGCAGAGTTGCTCTGTGATTTGGCAGGCATTTTCTGTACAGAGGCCAGGCTCATCATCCTGCCTGTGGAAGCATCTGGTTTTGTGCCTAATACAAAGACAGAGGTGACATAGTACTGGTTCTAAGGCATCTCAAAGGTTGTAGACCTTTGCTTCTGGACCTATGCTTCAGATGCTGCTCTGAGAAATGTGTGAGTGGTCCTGAGGGAAGCATGAAGGGCAGGGGAAAAGCAGAAGCAACTGTCAAGTCTGGCACTCTGACATGAGCCAGCCCAGCCCAAATCAATGGGGGTCATAGAGCCTCACCCAGCACTACACGGAGCTGGGCTGTTAGAGCTATGGTGGGATAGTAGGTGGAATGCACCATTTTAAATGTGATTGAATGACTTTAACTGTATTCACAGATACATCCAGTCTGTTCTCCAGTCTTCTCAAAGGCTCTTTGGACTTATTTTATAACTTGATGGATAAACTGCAAGATGTCCAGTTAAATTTATGTATTTGCTAAACATTCTTCAATATGAGTAGTTCTGTGCAGTTTCAGGGACACATTAAGGATGTAGCACAGTATCTATTACAAGTTTTCAGCCACTCATGCTTCAAAAGGCAAAATATCAGGTGACCGAGAAATTTTGGTGTCACAGTCCATTTTCTGCTTCTATAGCAGAAATACCAAAGACTAGATGCTTTATAAAGAATATAGTTAATTTTGTTGGCAAATTTCTAGTAATCTAATATCTTGCATGTTGGTTTTAAAAATAAATAATTTAATTCAGTAACTCATATAAACGAACTCCATACTTTAAAGCAGTGGTTCTCAACCTTCCTAATGCTGTGACCCTTTAATACAGTTCCTCATCTGTGGGGACTCCCATCCATAAAATTATTTTTTTCCGACTTCATAACTGTAATTTTGCTACTGTTATAAACTGTAGTGCAAACATCTGATATGTGAGCCCTGTGAAAGGGTTGTTCGACTCCTAAAGTGGTTGCAACCCACAGGTTGAGAACCACAAAGAAGTGTGGCCATACCCTCAAGAGGTTTAGGAGCAACTTCATGGAGGGGAGGAACAGATTCAGAAATATGGAGGAACAGCTTTACGTTGCAGGAGATATTTCATAAGAACACTTGGTGGTTGGCCGATGCTAGGATGACTTTAGGGTAGATAGACAGGAGCAGGAAGGTACTTAAGCTGAGAGTGAGTAAAGCCTGTGGATGGTGTGCAGAGTGAATTTCACTAACAGAGTGTACATTATCTTGGGGTGAAACGTTAGCTGGTGTATTTGGTAAGCATACACACTAACTATTTCCATTCTCCTAGGCCTTGTGAGGGGTGACTAGGAAACAGATTGCTAACACATAATTCCAGAACCCCAAGAGAACTTATAGTTCATGAAACAACAGTATCATACTAGCATCGCAACTTGCCCATCTTCCTATAGGTTATCTCTTCCTTGTTGGTATTTGGAAGGCGTTTATATATTCTTAATACTAGTCCATTGTTAGTTATATGAATTTTAAATAATTTCTTCATGTCTATACCTTCTTGTTTTACAATTTTAGATAACTCAAATTACAGTAATTGGACATATCAATATATTCTTTCATTACTAAGGGGGGTTTGTTGTTTTGTTTTTAATTATTATTAAGAGATACTTTAGCACTATAAGGTCAGGAAGGGCATTTGATCACACTTAGTTCTGGCAATTTTTAGATTTTCTATCTTAAAGTTAAGGTCTGATGTCTGCAGTGTAAGATATAAATACATTTTCTTTTTCATCTCTAGATGGAAAACTTTTTTTTGAAACTCTGTGATTTAGATAGTCATGACTCTTCAATAATCTGAATGTCACCTCAGTCATGGGTGATGACCAATAAATGTGTGTCACTTTGGGAATACTTTTCATCTGTTCCATTGATTAAG